CTGTGCAGGAGTACTGGCCAGCAGCGTTGGTGCCCACACAAGTATAAGACCCACTGTCCTCCTCCCCAGCGTCCAGAATCTCCAGGATGTAGTTCTTCCCCACGTGCTTGGATGTGATACGAGAAGTCTCCAGCACCTGTGATGTCAAGTAGCCATTAAATAACTTGACTGTTTAAAAAATGTCTCAGACATTTTTCTGAACACCGTGTGACAAACACCATTTAAATAGTTAAGAGGAAAAATGAACAGTTTTCTTGTCTATACGACTTTTTGGAATGTGTCATTGTTATGCGTAAAAAAAACATCCCAGAGCCATGCATCTATTGTTTTTCCACTACATTTATATTGATAGTCTAAAATAATGTGTGCACCTGAGTCATTAATACTAAATTATTCTCCAAAGACATAGAAGTAGTTTCGTCTTATTCTTACTTAGGTATAGTCTTTACAGCTGGATGTAACTTTAACACAGCGATGAAATCACTACAAAAGAAGGCACTACGAGCGTTGTTTAGCATTAAATGTACTCTCGGAGACACTAGGGCGCCTATATCAGTTTACTGTAAGCTTTTTGATCAGTGTGTTGTCCCTATAGTATTGTACGGAGCGGAAGTGTGGTGCAACAACAGATTAAATGATAACTCGCCGCTTGAACAAACACACTTAAAATTCTGTAAACAAATTCTAGGATTAAGAAGAAACGCTAGTAACTATGCCAGTAGAGCTGAACTTGGCCGCTTCCCCCTATGGATTGAAGCGTATTGTAGATTGTACAGCTATTATTATAGATTAGTTAGAAATGTTCCCGTTGAAAGCCTTCAGTATGAAGCTTACATAGTACAAAAAGACCTTGTTAAAAATAAAGTACCCTGTTGGTTGTTGAACATGAAGACAATTTTAGAGGAGTCCGGCTATGCCTGCCTATATACACACGAGTATATTAACAAACCATTCCATCTGCATGAACTAAAACAAAGATTAAAAGATATATTCATCCAGAAATTCAACTCAGCACTACAAGCACAAGGACAAAGAGAAAATCAAGGCAACAAACTGAGAACATATAAAACATTCAAAGTACTATACGACAGAGAACCATATTTAGACATTCCAAATTTTGAAAACCGCAGAGCCATGTGTAAACTCCGTATTAGCGACCACCCTCTACACATAGAATCTGGCAGGCATAGCCGTACACCGTTACAAGATAGACTATGTAAATTCTGTAATAATTCTTGTATTGAAGATGAATCGCATTTTATGCTTGACTGTATATTATATGATAACGAACGGAAATCACTGTTCAGTTCAATTAAGTTCGACAAAAAATGTAAAACATTATCAAAGGAAGACACTTTTAAATATATCATATCATGTACGAATATAGACGTCATCAATGAAGTATGTAAGTATATTTCAAAATGTTTCAAAAAGAGAGGAGAAGCCATTAGACCTTAGATCTATATCACTTTATATATGTATATTTCTTTTTTAGCATTGTATACCTTAGACCCGATGTTAGCCCTTCTTTATCACTATTGTTGTAGTACTCTCTAGTACATTGTACTCTGTACATCTGTGCATTTATCCCCCCGGGGAATGAACATGCAATAAAGTTTCATTTCACTAAACTAAAGGTAGAGAAATCTGGAGACTGTAATGTACCAATTTGGCTTACACCAGGCCAATATCTTAAATTAGTGTTTTAGATTCTTGTATGTATATTGTATATAATATTTCTGAAGCTTCCTTCAGGGTGTGTGTTAATTGTCATATCAAGCCCTGATATCCGTAGCTAATGTAAACTCTCTTTTAGTTACCTCTATTCCATCCTTAAGCCAGGAAACAGCCGGTTTAGGCTCCCCTGAGACTTCACTGATCAGGCTCACAGTCCCTCCTTTCTCCACTCTCTGGGATCGCGGCTTCAACTTGAAGTCTGGGGGTACCAGTCTATGGAAATCAAGTTGAACATAAATTGATTATCAGTGTGTAGAAGCTTATAATAAGTGAGAACTTAATCATGCCTTTTTAATGATCAACTTCTGGTCATTCGCTAAGAAAAAGTACCTCTTCAACAGAATTCTTCATTTTCCAGTTCTTGCAGTAATTCCATAGATAATTGGTTTCTTACACAACTTCTACTTTCTCTAAAATGTCCCAACCTAAAACCCACAACAACCCCTACTCTCACAAGGCTTTACACTGACAAATGTAACAGATAGATATCCCACCTCTCTTGTTCAGTGACATGTACAATGATGTCACACTTGACCGTGGTTGTCCCACTGTTGGCCTGACATGTGTAAGTCCCTGCATGTTCCTTCTTTATCTTGTGGATAGTGAGGATGTGGAGGTCACCCTTGGTGGTCTGGTTAAATACAGCAGAGTCAGGGAGAAGCTTGCCTCCATGGAGCCACTTGATGGTGTAGTTACCTACAACAGAAAAATGTTTGAAGATGATCTGATTTTAACAATTCCACTGTATAAAACTATGGAAATATCACATGCAGAATGATATTTGTAACTATTATTAGACTAAGTATGTACAATGTATCATCATCATCATTAAATGTATAGGAAATATATAACTT